ACAGCAATACGGGATGACGCCTGGTGAGGTGGACGAGGCGCTCAAGCAGTACCAGGAGCTGAGCGAGAAGCAGCAGCGCGGCGAGACGGGCGAGACGACGGACCGTGGCATGCTGGGCGACATGATCCTCAACTTCCGCTTGCCCAGCATCATGGAGTTCCTCACCCTGATGGGCTCCAACAGAATGGTACCACTCTCATCAACACTGCTTGACCACACTGATCCGTTCTCCTTTCCTCCGTCCAACAACTACAGCACTACGTGCCGGTCGCGCCGGGGCCAGCGCCGCCGATGTACCCCCCGCCTCCAATGTACAGTCCCTATGGCTACCCCGTCTACCCAGGGGCCAAGTACAAGGCCAAGGAAGACCCGTCCAGCGCAACGGAGCAGAGCTGAAGCAGCAAGCAAAAGAAAACAAAATAAAATGTTGTACGCGATGCACTCGGGCAGGACCTTGCGCAGCACTCGCGAGGTGGCGTCGCCTCCGTGTCCGTCCGACACCCCCAAAGCAAAGATCCGGCGGCGTCCATCGGCCACACGCCACAAACGTCACGTCCTCCATGTGCGGTCGCTGGCCCTGTCGCTGTTCGATGCCGATCTCGGCGCGAATGTCGCTGGTGGTGGTTCGCGGGGCATTGAACATCGAAAGGCGGGGCGTCGGGAAATGGCGGTTGATGGTGTAGGCGGCCCGCATGAGGTGCTGGATGCGCACCCACCGGTGCGTGTATCCTCCCCGTGGCTTGCGCACCTTCTTGGCGGTCCAATCCTGGCCATCGCTGCCCCGCGAGGGGTTTTATGATTGGTGTCTGGACAGAATATCCTGCCCGGAATATATAGGCCACCTCTTGGGTACTGTTCCATGACTGGAAGAGCGTCGATGTCCACAGGACGAACTCAGTGGTTTCTTCATGTTCACAAAACTCGGCCAAGTGATCAAGAGCCTCAGACATGTGTCATTCAGTGATCATCCACTTGAGATCCGTCATTTGCTCCACATACAAGACATTGGCAACAACTGCATTATCACAATTGTCAATAATCTGAAAGTGAATCAAGGCAGATCCCCATGAGGAGATCTTGATGATCTGCAATTGGCATCTCAACATGTCCAGCACGCCCTTTGCGCATGCAATCCAAGATCAAAGACACAAGCACTGGCGTGCTGCCCCCCCATGCCATCAGAATAAATGACTTGGACTATGACCACCACATTTGAACATGGATTGTGGCGTGCAATCTTACATTGTGCATGGAGCCTCTCCACTTGTGTCACTATGCCACACACCAATACAAGTTCTCCACCAGTGAATGCAGCCAGCGGTTGGCCAAGATTGTGCCCTACGCCATGTTCAACAATGGGCAGTGTTGGGGTATCAAGTGCAAGGATCCCAGTACCTACCTGTCCAATGTTGTGCCAAAGGACAAGTTCACAGGGCACATGGCTTGCAATGCCATACTGGGTGATGATGACAAGACTGTGGTGTTCATCACCCAATCCAATGCCATGTTCAGCATCTGGATCCTTCCACCTGACCATGTGCAAGGTTGTTGACCAGCTGCCCATTGCACTCTTCAATGATTGCTGGGACAGCAGCATGTATGTCATGACTGAGTTGTTTGGCCCCTTGCCTGAGCAGTTGATCACACCCTGCAGGTTCCACACAGGTGTCATGACAGTGGTGATCTGGAGGCATGATGCAAATAAACTACATTTTCCCTAGATAGTGTCACATGAGGTTCTGGCCAAGTGTGTGGCTGTGCAGCTTGAGCCATGCACTGGGCATGAGCATGCCATCCCTGGCAGCATCCAATCACATGCTGTTGGCCACCCAACACGCAGCATTGAGCCACCACCCCATGCTGTCATGTTGTTCACGTTCCTGGATGCAGTCAGTCCAATCATGCAGACCCTCCAGAAGAAGTGTGTACACACTGATTGTGAGTGTCCATGAGTGTGACCACCACATCTTCCAACCAAGACCCAATCACAGTGCAATCCTCCTGCAGGTGCCAATTAGCACAGTGATGGTGATCCCAAGATCCACCAACAACCTCAGCTTGGTCATAAAGAACATCCAATACACCAATACCTACTCAGTAGAGAGCCACTGGACACTGAAGGAAGGTGTCAAGGGTGGTTGGTCTGTGGGTAGTGTGCCTGGCTGGAATATTATTGAACCAAACTTCCAGACAATGCCACCTTTCCCCTCCATGCAGATGTTAGGTTTCTCACCATTGTGTGTTTCCCTGCAACAGCTCAGGGTAGCAAGGGAATCACCCTGCACAGTGTGACAGTCAATAACCCTTCCCTCATCCCTCCCCATCACAAGCTCTCCTCTGTGGTCACAAGCAAGGTGACCAATTTGGTCTTCAATGTGGAGGTGACTGTCCAAGGCAGTATCACCCTCAACTTTAACCCTCCTGTGGCCCTCAGCCCCAACCCCAACAATAAGCACCATTACTGGAGGACACTGATTTTTGTTGTGCTTTTATCATGTGAGATTTGACATTTTTAATTCATAGGGCAGTTTAGAAGATTTGGATCTGCATGTGTGATTTTGACATGCTAGACTGCTGCTTATAAGTGATATTGAGGGACTTGAGACGAAAAAGATTTGATTTTTTAACTCCACACATCAAAAAGGACATTCTGAATGTCTTCTTCATACTTTCCTGATATACAGATTATGTGAAGATGATGCAACAATTTGATATCAACTGAATGACAAAGAGCAGCTCCAGGCCACCCTCACAATGAGCAGCCACCTCCTCAGGAGGCCAAGAAGTAAGAGATGAAGGGCACTCTCCACACTGAGATGTGACAAAAGGCCCCTCTGAATTGGTTGCATTAAGAATTAAAATTGTTACAGCATCATTATGATGGTATTTTAATATAATGCAGGCAGCAGCTGGTTGCACTCAAACACCTGATGCAGCCACCCATAGTGGACATGGGCATCCTTGGCACACTGGCACACCTCCTTTGCAACAGCCAAGACACAACTGTTGTGTGAAGGGTGCAATTTTGTGTGAGAGGAGAGTGGTTGTGCAGATGGTGACTTGGGGAGGCATGGAGAATAGGAGGTGGTAATGGGGTGGCAAACTCAAACCAAGCCCAGGCTGAGGGCGTCACCAAGACCTCTCA